TAATGTTCCGGTACAGCCATCGTCGTATGACTACCTACCTGATGTACTCCCTCTGTCAATCAAACGTGGATCCAGAGTGATTATACTGCTGTCAGTCCCGATGGTGTGGATGCAACAGGACTACCGCTTCTTCTGGAGCAAATGGCTGAACTCCAATTATGCTTTAGTGTATGCCAGATTCATCTTGCGACTTGTTGGTGTTCATGAATATCATCGCTTACAAGATGATGTGAGTAAAATAGTAGCACCAGCTATTCCTCCGAAGTACCAGACTGAGTTAAACTCAAAGCTAGCTAGCAACTCTCTAAATTGCTCAGATGAACATATGGAAGACGTTATGAAAACGGTGAGCAAGGCTGCTTGCAGCTTACACCAATGCTCCTCTAAAAACTATTAGGTTTCTGAGAATTCTTGCAACTTCTGGATGCATACCTCTCCATTTCGGCAGACAATGGAGTATAGTAATAGAGAGGTTTCGCGTGCGTTTCGGATTGTGAGGGTGATTGTTACTTCCCGGCTGCCCACACCGTGGAAGTTGGTTGCGTGACTGCAGAGCCCAGGGGACAACTGCTTGAGGCCGGTCACACGCGGCCTGTTTTTGTTCGTTCTTTTTTGTTTGGTGTGCCTCAGTAGCATACTTATCACTCCCGCCCTGTGACACTGCAGCAGGAAGCGCGGTTGTTGTTAATCCGGGCCACGGCTGATCCGGCATGAAATTTTGTGATTTTGTATTTATCATGATGTTGGAGTATAACGACATGCTAAGGAGCTTACTCGCAAAATCAAACACTATTTACATGACGACCATGAAGCATTGCTGTCAGAATGTGCGCGGAATCAGCAGCTGCATCTGGCAATAGCAGGAAACCTTTCCAGCTCTTTCAAGCCACCGGCAACAAGAAGCATCGTGTCAGCAAGACGATATGTGAGGTATACAATACGCTAATTATCAACCTGATAAGAAGTCTCGAATGCTAGGTAGAGCACTTCCAGAGGCGATTTAGCTTCAATTATGGACAGAATTTACGTTGATAAGATCTCACAGAGTTACACAGTAATATTTGCTGATGACGTTTCGAGCACAGTTTACGGACACTCATAATCATATATTTTAACCATAATGAAATTATACTCTACCACAAAGCCCAAGTTCTGTTCGAATATCAGGGCGGTTAAGCTGGCCAACATCGCCACTATTAACTACAGTGTTCCATGGTTAGTTAGTACCAACCCACCAAACAAAGCGAAGGTGCGAAAGGAATTCCAGTCGGTGAAACGCTTTAAGGCATACTACCTAGACTATGTATCTGCGTCTGTTTTTAAAGATGGTGGCGAGATTTCCGTCCTACAGTTGACTAGTGTTAAGGAAAGTATGGAAAATCGAGAATATCCCGTCAATGTAGGACGAAAGCATCATCGTGACCATAATTGAAAAGGACTTACGTAATAAGTGGGACAGTAATAGGGGTATTTGATTTGCTACAGTTGGTGTCTAAAATACTGACTACTGTCTCACGTCGCAGGCTGTGCAAACCAGACAAGGAACTGATTCGCAACCAGTAGGTTGGGTTTTCTTCAGGCAGTGGATGCAATGATCATGTGTTCCCCCTTCGTCAGTTGCTAAAACACCATCACACGCACTGCAGGTCAGCAATCGTTGTGTTTCTTGATATTAGGCATGCCTTTGATTCGTTGATAGAACTGTTGTCTGGAAGTGTATGTTAGAGAAAGGTGCTACTGAGAAATTTTTTTAACATCCTGGAAGCCCTATGAAGAGACACTTTAGGTGGGGTGAAGGTATACAACCAACTATCACCATTGTCCTCAACCACAAGTGAGGTTAGACAGGCGTGTTCGATGCCATCATTTCTGCAAAGTACCGCTGTAAGCATGGCTGGAGCCTGTACCTACACACACTCTTGCAGGTGAACCGCTTGAAGTGATCGATAAGTTCATGTACCTAGGTATTTGCTTTAAGGTGCGGCCGACGAAATTTTTAACAATGCAGTAAAATCTAGGGTGGTGTACGCTAATTTGTGCCGTCAAAACGTTAGTCTGCCTGTTAAAGTTCAGGTTTACAATACTTTGTTGAGCTCTACACTTGTCAAACTTGACCTCTTCGAGATGAGGGTGTGCGGCAACTCTTCCTATTAGTTTATTACTGCCTCTGTATAATTGTTTTCACCCAATGGCGTCATCGTGTAAGTAATTCTGATGTCTGGCAACGTGGACTTGGAGGCGGTGGAAGTGCTAATTTTGCTGGTCGTCATCACCTGAAAACACCAGCTTACGTGGCTCAGACATGTGTTACGAATATCATCCCAGGGGGCAATTGTAGCTGTTCGACAATCTTGGTACTGGATAGAAAAAGCGAGGAAGTGGCGCCGTGTGATGCAGGATATTTCTGTTAAGTTAGCATCAGTTGGCACAACACCATTTGCTAGCTGAGATCCGAGAGACAGTTCGAATCGGCGGTCAGAAAAGTTACCAAATATAGCCAAGAATCGCTATCGATGGCGAACATTCAGTGTTGAGTGTTGAATCATCCTGACAAGTATGCTCACTTCCTTTCTGGATGACATCCCTCATTCATTTTATTCCTATGTTTTGGTACCCATAATGTCCCACGTTTTTGTTTTAAATAATTGAAACATAAATACCCTGTCAAGAAATATGGCAAGAGTTGGTCACCGGTAAGTGTCCGTATGTTCTAGAATCGGTCGAAGAGTGAAGATATAGTCAATTCAACCTCATCTGTGCCTGTTTTTCACAGGTTTTTTTTCTCATGAACACCACTCAGTCTATGCAGGATTAATAAACCTAGAATTATAGACACTATGTTAATCAAGCTAATCTCCCTTCCGTCCCCATGATTATCGGAGGAAGACTTTTCTTGGATATCCAATCATTTGCACAGGTCCAATGGGATTATTTCTGGTTCCGACATACCACTCAATGTCTTAATTAACCCCGTCGATAGCTCATCACCACCACTACCACCCTTAATCATACCTCTGGAGTCATTCCACCAGGTCTGGTTTCACTCTAGATTACGAACAGCTTTTGCAATACTCAGCTGCAGTTGCAAGACTGATGTTTACATCCCACCTGGATTTTAAACAGATTTACAGTAGCTATAAGCCAGCTAAATTACTCTTCAGGATGTTCCCCTTTAAACTTTCCAGTCTTCTGTTCTGACAGTTGATGAAAGCTGGTGATATTCTTCTCCGAAGCTGTTTTGCACTTATCATTTGTGTTTTACAATCACTACTCCTAATAATATGCCTAAATAGTTGTTTTAGTAATAAACCTACCATTGATGCCTTTTCACTTTTGTTCCCTCTTGTCACCTATCACTCACTGTCTACGGTGATTCCTTGGGTAGACTTTTAATCAGTTTGCATTTGAACGTCTTCCTTCCACTCCTCATGAGTGTTTATTCTATGATAAATGAATGCCGAATAGCAGAAAAATTGTGAAACCACAAAATGCATTCAGTAAACTATAGTTTGTTGTTTTTCGTCAATATTTAGCATGATGGCTTAACTAATTAATCCCGGTGTCGTGATTCTCACTGAAGAAGAACAACAACCACCACCAACTAGTAGTGTGTCAAGACTTCGAAAAAAGTAATAGTTTGGGACTACTCATAGGCAGTACACATCCACCACCAAGGTTCGAACCCAGAACCTCCTGGCTACAAGGGAGGCTCGCAGACCATTCACTCACTGGGAACCCTCACTGGGAACCCTCACACCCAAACTAACTCTTGAAAATTAATCGGGTGCTCTCTTGCTATAAGAATTGAAGTTTACTGGAGCGAGTTTCAAGGAGTTGTGATCAGTGGAGAGTCCACCTCGTCGGGAGTGAGGACAAATACTCGCTCATGACATTTGCTGGTAGTCGCGCTACACGAAATCACAAATTGGTTGAAGTTAGTATTTATGGGTCATTGAGTCGAGTTTCAATGACTGGGTTTGCCATGTAACCGGAAGGTCCTGGGTTCCAACCTCAGTGGGTTCGGTAGTGTTCAAACTAGGACTACAGGAACAGCTGGGAAATACTCGCTGGCCTTCAGTGTGGTTCTCTAATTGATTTCAACTCGTGATCGAACCTGTAACCAATTAAATCCCTCTGCAAACCACCAATTGTTGGAGAAAAAAAACTGTCACAAAGGGTAGCGCAGTAGTAGCCTAAATTACTTGAATGAAACTGTTTTGTTCTTCGTTATTACTCCTCCTTTGTCTCACCCCTCTGCTCACTGTTTCTATTATGCTTTTCTTGTACTTTCTTCTCTTGCTTCGCGTGCTACACGGAATGTGGCGACTTGAACTTCCGCACATTTGTGCAAAGTTCTATGTCGAAAACAGACAGACAGACAAATTACTTGAATCGGACTAATTAAAGATTTGACTAGACTTTTTTTTATAACAATCTCATCCATATTAACCAACTAAGTAACTAGCTAACTACATTACTTTATATCCCACAGGTTTGGAAGTACAATGAAGGCGAAGTGACACATGTCGGCTTGGGGCATACATCACCAATTACACGGTTACGTATATCACCAGATCAGAAACATGTGATCACAGTCAGTGAAGATGGAGCAATTTATATTTGGGAAATGCCTTCGACGACGACGACGACAACACCCCCACCAACAACAACAACGACGGAGACAACAGCCGTCAGCTAGACAGAGGCTTCGAAATTCCGCTCATCATCGAACAGAACAGAAAAAGGAAAATGTGAAAGCAACACACAAGCATACATGTAGGAAACAGAGGTATATATATATATATATATATATATATATCACGCAAGTTTATTAACACAACAACCTCCTCCCACCCGCGTCTCCCTTTTAGTCGATCTTTACACACACACACACCGCGAAACAACCTATAGTTTAATCGAAATTTATTCATATTTACGCTTGAAAATCGATAGCAACAACAACAACACTACCCACCGATAACAGCAACAACAACAACAACGAATATACACATACGTATATATGTATTACTTGTGAGTAACGGAAAAACAACACACATGAATAAATAAATAAATTAACTATATTCACTAAAAAATAGTTTTGTTTTTTTGAATTAATTAATTAACTCACTCACTACTTTATTGTTTTATTTTAATAAGTGAAGTAAAAGAATTAGACAAGGGACTAGAAATTAGGCCAGTTTCAAGTATTTATGATTCTTCATTGGTGGTGTGGTGTCATTATAATAAAGATTGTGTGTGTATGTGAGTCATGGTGTCATGGTGACGAAAGATTTGAGCAGAGAGGAGAAGAAAAGGGAAGCATTAATAATAATAATAATAATAATAATAATAGTATAAGTGAGAGAACCTCACACACACACACATACGCATGCACGCACGCACACATTCAGAGAAATAAGTTGGTAAATATATAGTCCAGCAGAGATTATCAAGATAGAAACAAAAGACTGATTGATTTGTAAGCACTATCACCATCATCAAACAGTCCATATTTCACTTCCGATGGTTCTTTATGAATGCGATTAATCCATTTGTTGACGAATCATGACTACTGATTGTCTCGTTTGATGTTAACTCAGGCTGAATACGTTTGGCCAACACTTTACCCAACTCCACACTTTTTAGTTAGCAGCGAGAAAAGGAATAAAAAAACAAAAACAAACATAAAAAAATAGAAAGCGAAATTTTTTTTAATGTTAAAACTACTACTCTCCGTATAAAATGAGTGAAACTATGGAAGATAGGTGCCCTGCCTTTTTTTATCAGGACTCTAATGGTTTGCTGTTATTACACAAATCATGCTAAAGTTTCCGCGTTTCTACACCATGCGTATAGCTAAACAAACTTGATCCTGAAGGGTTCATCATCATATGATATAACCACATCAGTGAGATAACAATTTAATTTAGGCTTTTTGATTGTTTCTAGAATTAAATTTTCCAATAGCTAAGGAACATATTCGAAATATAGTCAAGCACTATCTTGTTCCCTATTGTCCAGTACTCCCAGGTTTTCCAATGGCTCTCTAGCCGAAGTCAGCACATGATGACATCTTGTGACCAATCAATCAAATCAAATCCTTGAAAAGAAACATTTGAATAAGAATCTGATGCTTCCTAGTGACCGGTCCTATTCAAGTAGGTAGTAAGTTATCCGGGTGGGTTCTAGTGGAAAGTCGTGACCAGTGAGGTATACCAGGTCGGCAGTGAGGACAAATACTTGCCACCGATAACATTGGCTAGTGCTCGCACTATGTCGCCAAATGGCAAAAGTTGGAATTTATGAGCTGGCCACTAGATCGGGATCCCGGTGGCTTAATAGTCTACGAGCTCGCTCGCCTTGTGACCACAAGCTCATAGGTTTGGACTCTGGCGATGGGTGTGCAGTGATGAAGTGTCCCAAATTAAGACAACAGAAACCGTCATGCTGTACTTCTAGGTTTTTCAATGGTTCTTCAACCGATTTCAGCTCACGATGAAATCCTGTAACAGAGCACTATCTTGTTACATTTCATAAGTAGTGTGGTTCAATGATTTGAACGCTTAAATTTTAGTCAGCTGACTTCAAGTTCGAATTCGTTCTGACCGAGTTTATCCTAGAAAACTGGGCAGTATGGTCAGGCCGTACACACTCACACACACGCATAGATGGCTCATATCTTGGCACATGAAAAATTAAATCCATGTAAATGAGATCTAAAAAATTGGAAAGTAATAAAGCTACACTCGTCAAATACTCGCTCCTCGACTGATATTAGCTGGTTGGAGACAATCAATCTGCAAGAAGCTCAGTCGGACCTAGGTCTCATCCTATTTGGCAGTCACCAGTTATCTGAGCGTATCTGCAATCTTGAGAGAACTCGTGCCCCTTCTGAGATTAGAACCCGCATCACCCGGTTGAGCGCTGCAGTCAGAGACGTCGTTATGCCTAAGATATTCAGGCTCGTTATTGACCCCTCCTGCAGGACTGTATTGGATAATCTTGATTAGACACACACTTCTGTCTGTCTGGATTCAACATAGAACTTGGCACCGAAGTGCAGCAGTTCGAGTTGCCACGTTCCAAATAGCACACAGAGGTAGACAAGAAGATGAGTGAAGAGAATTAATAGAGTTTGACAAATATAAGAGTGAAACAGAATGGGTAATGGTAGAAAGGAATATGAAAGATTACAGAGACACACACTTGTTAAAAACTAGTGTGTAAGGTGGTTAGTTCCTCGTGTCGGTGCAGACTGAATTCTGCAACTCAATTTCTCCAATGTGGCTACCAACAGATTAGGCGGCTCACAATCACAGTGCACTTTGAATAGTTAATATTATAGATGGTTGGAAACAAACAGTAAAAAACTTTGAGGATGTTGCCTAGTGAGGCAAGGAAGGCTTTGCAAGTTAACCACCACCCTCAGCTCAGAGAATACAACTACAACAAAATTAGTGAATGTCCTGAACTATCAATCTTCCTGCTACTCAATATAAAAAACACAAAATGCAATTATTACATTAAGAAGTTCACTATATCAGTACTACTGAGAGCATAGATACAAATACTCTACGCACAAATATGAAACACGGTTATCCAAATGTAGAATGATGTGCTATATATCATCATGCTGAAAGAGATGTTTGTCGGTGAGAACGTAAAGACGGTGTTAAGCACTAATCAGCTTTATATATATATATATATATATATATATATATATATATATATATATATATATATATATATATATATATACCTATGCAATATTTCGTTATTGTGACCGAGGTATTTAGCCTGCTATATGCTCTGTTCTCGTGACATTTTGTTGCCAGATATGGCCAGAGGCTAATTGGTTAGTGGTGTGACCTAACTGTTGTACGCAAAGTTTGAAGTGGACTGTGTGTTGCATTGCGCTACGCCCTGAGAATGTTTATCCCCTACCACATCGTTTAAGCCACCCCGGTTTGTCTTGCCAACCATGCATCCACCAGGCTTTGGACTAGATTGCCTATATGTTGGCCTGGTAGATCTACTTCCTGGAGTTGCAGTCTCGAAATTGAGATAGTTGGTCAGTAGTCTCGATAACACAAAACTTTACAAGTATGTTCTTCTATATATCCCTAGTTTCAGGGTACTGTATATTGTTTTATATTCCAATTGTTTCTGAAAGCTGGACTCTTACTGGTTGCTACATCTTTAACTTATCTGTGACTTTAATGTTCTATAGAACGATTGGAAAACTTGGGAGTACTGGGTAGCTGGGACTCTTCGGCGGTGACTGTGAACGGTCTACAAGCTTGCCTTGTAACCTAAGGGTCCTCCTGGGCACGAACTCTAGTGGGTGTGTACTGTTGAAGAGTTCCCCCCCCCCAAAAAAACTAGTACGAAAAAGTTGTACAGCGCATGATGGCTGGTTTCCTAAGTGATATCAATCCGCGGTTAAACTTGCAACCAATGAAGTCCGTGCAAACCGACACTCGATAATTGAGTGTTCTGCATCCCTGTCAAAGTATTTTGACTATCTCATTCGAGGCAGTAAAAGCTCTCTTGTCAACTCTCTTGTTTGTCTTCTCTTCACGTAATCGTAGTATGCTCAAGGTTGAAGCCGCGATTAGGCCAGTTTACATTATATGAGCATTTGGATCGCATTCTGCTAGGAGATGTGTACTATATGCTCGTCACACTGCATAAAATGTAAATTTTCGAAATTACTGAACTTACCCCCATTGATCGAATGAGTTAATATTCCATATAATTCCTTGTACAAATATTTTATGCTCATACATAGCAATCAATGCACCCAATAATTCAGGTGTTAATTTACTAAATACAATAGAATTCGATGGACGATTTCCTTTGAAACTTTTATGCAGTGAAAGTGATTCAAGTTTATCACCAGTAACACCGGCGGCAAATAATTCTTTATGAACCTCCTCTTTAGTTTTACCAGCCATTAAAGCTTCAGTTTGTGCCAAAAAGTTTGATAACAGTATCTAAGGATAAATAGAATATATTGAAAGGAAGAAAAAATATATTGCAATGATACTCAGATTTCAGTTACAGAGAGACAATGTTAACCAGTAGTCTAACTGAGTTCCAACATATAGCGCGGTATATATAAAATAGTATTTATGTTTTCCCCAACAATGAAATGTTCCTCACGGAGAAAACATTGCATTTTCATGTCTTCCACTCTCAATGGCCAGGTCTCACAGCTAGTCATAAAAAGAGGACGGAGCAGACTGCTGAGCAGTACACACACCCTTTGGTCGACAGTAGGCGGGATATCACGTCTACGCCAGAGACGGCGTAAACTGGCAGATGCGAAACAAGCCTTCTGTATCCGGGCTGAGATTTCGTCAGCGACCAACCCCTTGGTGTTGGCTGATGCAACTACCCAAATAAGTGAAGCGGTCAGTGTGCTCTACCACTTCACTCCTCATTTCTAAGCTAGGAGTCAATGTAGTCCAGTCCTGTAGCTTCATCTTACAATTTGGCAGGAGCGAATCGCATGCCAATCATTCGCAGATTGCAACCGAATTTGTTCAGAAGACTGCATTTTGTCAGCGTCCTCATCTACGAGGGAGGGCTATATCACCTACATAGTCTAAGTCAACGACATTATTCCCTGGTAACAAGTCAATCCCTTAGTCGCTGAAGTCACTTAGAGTTAAGTCCATTGGTACATCTGTGATGAAGTTGAATAGAAATGGGGATAATGGGCATTCCTGACAGACACTACTAGTTGTCACCAGTTCAGATGACAACTCGCCGCAAGCTCTCACCAGGCTGCATGAGTTCGATTACGGTGCCTTGATCAGTGTAATGTATTTCCCTTCACAGCCAAACATCGCCATAGTACATCTCGGTCAACGGAATCAAATGCCACCTTTAGGCCAAACACTCGCGACGGCAATCCTCGATAAGTTGCCGTTCACAATCAGCACCTGCCCACCAAAAATTCATTGGTGTTCGAACTCTAAGTCTTTGAGAGGGTGCAAATCCCGGCTTCCTGACGAAAGAGACCTGTGTCATATGCTTCATAATCCCAAGGTGACGCCAAAATCTTCCGTCTCGCACAACATGATATCCTCAAGCGTCGTCTTGGTTGTGTCACTGCTTCTCATGCACTGATGGGCAGAAAGTCACTAGTAACAACATGGAACCCTAATATCTAAGCTACATGCAGCTAAGTCATCAGACACCTCAAAATCCTTCGAAGTCTAGACACCTTTGTGTATTAAAGGCTACAGAGAAGGATACAGAAGGTGGATAGCAGGACTACTTAACAGCAGACGTGGTAGGCAGTGTCATGTATAATGTTAAAGTTGGTAGAGAGACGTGGACTACGATATAAAGACAACAGCCAGCGACTTCCCATTAGATGTATATATATATATATATATATATATATATATATATATATATATATACTAACCTCATGATGTAATCCTTTCTGTACTGGATTATGCGTATCAACTGGTATCAAAAAGTCACAAGGGATAATTCGAGTGCCTTGATGAATAAGTTGATAGAATGCATGCTGACCATTTGTCCCAGGTTCACCCCATACAATAGGTCCAGTGGCATAATCCACTTGTTTAGAATCCCGTGTAACAAATTTTCCATTCGATTCCATATCACCTTGTTGAAAATATGCAGGAAAACGTGACATATACTGATCATAGGGTAGAATTGCTTGAGTCTCTGCACCGTATATATTAATGTAGAGAACGCCTAATACAGCTAGAATGACAGGAATCTGTAATAAAGAAAATATATATATATATATATATATATATATATATACAAATAATAATTAACAAGAAAATAAAAAGTATACTGCCTTTGTAGAATAAAACAGTGGAAATATAAGAGTAGCTAGACATTATGAGACTTCTCTGACATTTAGAAACAGTACAGTCGAACTTTTTCGATATTGTTCACTTGGGTTCATTTGAGTTGAACATCAAGCTTCGACAGCACATCTCCACTTAACTACTCTGTTCTCTGTCGCTGTCTTTTACAACTGGCCTCAAACAGTGACCATCAACTTTCATTCCTTCCGCATCGAATCTGATCATCGGACAATGCCCACCCAATTCATCGTTTCTCACTGGAATTCCACTAGACGGTCTCTCTCTCTAGAGACTATAATGTCACTCAACGGTCTCTATTTCCCGTGTAAAGTGGCATAATAAGGTGAACAACATGGAGGTTAGGCGTAGAGTTCTAGGTAAACAGGGGAAATCAATCGACGAAGTCGTGAAGCTACAAAGACTGAGATGGTTAGGACATGTGTTACGTATGCCAAGTCATCGCCTCCCTCGACGAGTAATGTTAGCGGATATAGGGTCAGGCTGGAAAAAAGCTAGCGGCGGTCAAACAAAAACTTGGCATCAGTCAATGAAATCCACAACAGTTGGTCTAAGCCACGTAGGAAGGTGTAGACTTCCAGGCTGGGGTCCTCGGGACGGTAAAAATCTATGGTTGGAAATAATTGGTATCATGGCTAGCTCAAAATCGTTCTCAGTGGCTAGCGCAGATGCATCCACTCCCTGTGACTTATGATCTTCAATGAAACTGTTTTGTATTTCTTTATTACTCCTTTGTCTCACACCTCTGCTCACTGTCTCTATTATGCTTTTCTTGTACTTTCTTCTCTTGCTTCGCGTGCTACACGGAATGTGGCGACTTGAACTTCCGCACATTTGTGCAAAGTTCTATGTCGAAAACAGACAGACAGACAACGGTCTCTGCAGCGTGTGTATCCAATCCAGCTCCATTAGCCCATGCATATTCGCGAGTTGGGTAACAGGTTCCTGGTTGGTTCGTTGCAATGCAGAATTGTTTGATGCTAATCCTTCCCCCAACTGGCGATGTACTAAACTCAATATTCACAGTGAATGAAGGCAACTACTGATCACAGATTGCGGAATGTTGTTAATCCTTCAGATATGACTCAAGTCAGTGAGTCTATGATTTTGGTATCTCATTTTTGTTAACTGTATCCAACTGTGATACTACACTGCTAAGATTTTTATATTGTTGTTGTCGCTTGTTGCCCTTCTTGTTGTGAATTATTTTCCTTTTGCCGGTGTTGTTCTGATTGTTTTATTCCTTGTTTTCCTGGTTTTAAGGGGAGCAACCCAAAAGGTCGCTTCTCTGTGAACTATATTTTAATGTAACAACCCCCTTGTCAGGCGTGAGGCTAGCAACCACACCCTGTAAACAAAGTTGCTATAGAAACTTCAGCACGATGAATCTCCTTGAGCCAAAAGAAAAAGTCTGTGTGGAGTACATGGAACGTCCACACCATTTCGAGATTGGCAAAGCTGCCCAGATCGCAAAAGAAATGAAACGATACGGAATCCAAGTACCGGGAATATGTGAAAGCAGATGGAACGGGAATGGACCCACCAAATTGTCAACGGGTGAGTCAGTGATCTACTCCGGTCACCCAGAAGGCAAACACACGCACACCGAGGGCGGGGCTATCATGATGTCACGAACGGCAAGGAAGGCCCTGATGCAATGGGAGGAGATCTCGTCCAGGATAATGACCGCCAGATTCAACTCCAAAGTCTCAAAGTCGACTGGGCCGAGATTTCGTCAGCAATTAGCCCACTTCACTCTGTATCTTTAAGCTAGGAGTCGGTGTACTCCAGTAGTCCAGTAACATCATCTTACATTTGAACACAGGAGCAAATCGCATACCAAACATTCGAAGACTGCTGGTCAACACAGTAAAGTCTAAAACAAACAACACTGATTTCATACCTTATCACGTATAATTCATATGAACTGTGATATCAGGATTTGACCGAATAGTTGCAAAATAATTGACGGCACCGAGTGTGAGAAGTAGACATTTGTAAAAAAAAAATTATATTTGTAAATTCTGGAAATAATCATTTCAATTTCGCTGAGATTTTTACAAATATAATTCTGTTTTTATCACGTACATGTTACACAATTTTACGTGTTTCAATGACTATGAAAACACCGTCGCCTAGTCTTGAGTCTCTCTCTCTCTCTTGGTAAGTGAATAATAGAACGATGGACAACTAAATACCCGGATCATACAACAACAACAACAGCTTGGAAAAGTAGCTTTCATTAAGACACCATTATATGCGTTTTTGTGAAAACTCTGGACGAAGAACAGAATAGAACAGAACATTCACTCACTGACTTACTATTACTTACTATATATCTATTATACACGTTAAGAATGCATACATCTATAGGCTGCGAAATATTTGCTATCAACATTTGACCCATTTACATATTATATACACACAAATATGTTACGTTACATTTTAACATAAACATTTTGTATAACAGTGTAATAAATGAATGATGATGATGACTGGAATGTGACAAGTAAATTGATAATAATGCGCACACAAAAAATACACCGAAATTGTAACACACACTGTCTATACGGCTATATACATACAATAAGGATTAAATGATATAAGGAATACACACACTAATAATTCACAGAGCGAATTATAAAATAATAAGAATAAGGATAATAATTTCCAACAGTCAGGGGGAACCAGCAAGGGATGTTTCACCCTGGAGCTTGAAACTCTTCCTCAGTATGCACCCACCGCCAGAGCTGGAACTCAAGAGCCTCTGGTTACAAGGCGAGCGAGAGCTCGTAGGCCCATTAGGTCACTGGGACCCAGTGAATTCTAATTCCTGCCAATTCACGATGGCAGTGTGAAGACTAGTCAATGCCATCGGTGGCGAGTATTCGATCTCCATCCCGGCTTGATATACCTCACTGGTGTCACGACTACCACCTAGTAGAACCCACTAGCAGGTCGGGTGTAAGGACAAATATTCGTCGATGACATGGATTAATATTCGGACTATGTCGTGAACTGGCAGAGGCTGGAATTTGTGGGCTGGCCACTGGATCGGGTCCCAGTGACCTGCTCGCCTTGCTAATTTTCTCGCTGGCTCCACGCCTAAAATGCTAGCCAACCCCACTCAGGGGTCCGATCACCGGTCGACGCACTTTACCTTTACCTCGCTAAGCCAGCAATAAGACTGGTAAAGAGGGATGTTTGGGAACGTAAAGGAATGAAAAAAATTCTCTCTCTACATTTGTTCTTCACTATGGAGCCAGATAAAGTCTGCAATAGCCTGTTTGAAAAGGTTTTTCATGACGCATACGCCGAATTTTTGACTCGTACAAAAGCACTAACCGACTTAGCATCCGAATCGTGTTCTTTATGCTGTACAGATAAAATTTCAAAACTGATTTCAGAGGAGTGAAAGTATGCGCCTAGCCTATCCAATCCACCCTGGTTTAAACATCCTCATATCCATTCTGGTTGGTTGACTGTAGTTGACACGATGCTGCCTAGTTCATGGTGTTTGGTGCTTTCGTTGTTGGTTTGTTATCTCCATCACCTCCGTTTTCTTTGCATATACTTCAAGTCCTGTCTACGTTGTCAGCCTCTTCTGAGAACCTGTTGCTTTTCACCTATAAATCTTCAAGTTTACGTCACATTAGACATAAATCGTCCAACGTATTCCTGTTTTCTCGCCACCTATTATATAGCCAGCCAGCCAGCCAGTTGATATGTATCCACATGATGTGTGTTTTGTTTTTGACAGTCTGTCATATTTTGCTATGTCTATATGGATCGATATTCCATTATAACTGACATTATGCTTTTGTCTGTCCACTAACTAAATAAACATGTATGACCTTATTATCACATGACATTACAACCAATCATAGTAAGACGTTACCTTACTGGTTCATGTGTATTAGCCATTTTCATATATACTCTTGCTTGCTTTATCATTCTTGTTCCCACGTTTCGTACACTACGTACCATTTCACTCACACTTTTGTGTGACATTTATTTTCCTTGTCTGGAAAATACAAGTATCATCGTAAACCTGGTGGTCTTCTGATTTCCCTCTTCCCGCGTCAGGACTACTTACTACTACTCGACGAGTACATAACATACTTGGCGACGGAGAAAACTTACTATTAACCACTCAGCAGCAGTACATAACACCAGCCAGACACATAATCCAGTCCACCGCAGTCAGCAATATCAGCCGGTTTGCCTTGCTCGTGGTATTCCCCCACCCCACCCAAGGTGGGAATAGTATTGTGATTTAACAAGATACAAAAAAGAGTGTATTATAAACACATTAAAATTGACAATTGAAACTTACATTTTTATGCAATGGCGTTTCTTTAAAGTGTTTATCCATTGCATGTGCACCTTCTAACAATTTAATGAAATTGTCCATGCCTTCAAGGAAAGAAAGAAAATCAATCAAAGTGAGAAGAGAAAATACTTTTCAAAATAGGAGATATCTACAAAAAATCAACAAACAAAGAACTTTCTGGGTAGGTAAAATAAAATCGATGTGAAAGTTAACTGGGAACGCATTTCCCTAACTACTTCGTCTATAAACATCAGATATTTACTACTGACTGATTGGTGTTCAACAAGAACTTTGTACAAATGTGAACTGGCAGTTCAAGTTGCCACACTCCATGTAGCACACACACACACACGCCGATAGACAAAAGATTAGAAAGAAGAGATTCCAAAGAACAGTGAGAGAGAGAGAGAGAAAGACTAGTAACACGAAAGTACAATAGCGTTTTATTGGATAAAGGAGATCACAGAGAGTGAATACATCTGCACCGCCAGTGAGAACGATTTTGAGCTATATCACCGATAGTCTCCTCGGCATCCCGAGGACACCAACCAATGAGGAAGTCAACACTTCCCTAGATGGCTGACTCCGACTAAGTGTTAACGATTTTTTATGAAGTGATTTCAAGTCTTCGTTTGAACAGCTGATCCTATGTCAGCCAACATTACTCATCGAGGAAGACAATGGCTAAGCATGTGCAACACACGTCCTAGGCATTTCAACCGATGTAGCCATACAACCTCATACAACCTGATTTCCCCTCTTTACTCAACACTCAAAGCGGTACAGATTGACCACTGATGAATCCAAAGTAAAACCGTTAGATCAACAAAGGAGAGAAATTATTGACATATTTTGGATTGAACTGATGAGATGGTAAGTGGATTTGTACAGTGTCTATTATTATATTTATTTAAACGCAGAAAAATTGGGCACAATATATCACCAAGAAGATGCGCCACACAATAATAATAAAACAAGAGATTTTTTTGATTACAGCTTGATTCCACACCGTATTTTTGGTACAGGTATGGAATTTTCAGCATGTGATATAGGTAGCTCAAATTTTGCAGGCCGACCATAGATATCAGGTGCGTCGACGGAGGATTGAACTCCGGATCATGTGCATGATAGGCGACAGTCCTAACCGCTATGCCACCGACGTACATAAATGCAACATAGAATAAAAGTAAAAATATAGGTGGAGAAAGGATAAACAACTTCATCTGCAAGGAAAACATTCATACTTGACAAGTTCACACAGCATTCGTCAACTATCACCGAGAATGGAAGAAAGAAGGAAACTGCAACACATTCGCCATTGATTACGATTCCTAGCCATATCCAATAGCGTTTCGAGCCATCAATTCGAGCTATCTCTCAGACTCCAACCAGGAAGTCGTGACGTACCAACCAATGTAAACCTAGTACAATTATCCTTTATGCCACGACTCCATGTCATGGACTGACCGACCACCTCCCCAATTTTTCCATCCCATTTCACGGCAAGCGAACAGAGACCTGTACGGAAGCCTCTGGGATGACATTCGCAGCAGATGTCCAAGTCACCGACGCTGGGCTCGGGGAGGCCAGGCTTCACATGCGTAGTACAAGACAGCCCGCACCGAAGCATTGTATATCCAGGCTAATGTCGCGACGGAGACAGAGGTGGCTCAAGTTGATGTATGCCACTCTAGCCTTCATGATACCGTTGGAAATCTTATCCGTCACCCCTCCGCCAGCAACACCCACAAAACTACCCAAAAACACAAACTTCTCAACAAATTCAAGCGATTCACCTGCATGAATGACTGCAAGTACAGGCTCCCGGCAATTTTGTAACAGCACTCTGCATTTAGACGGCGCAAAGCACATAACATACGCATAGACACAATTTAGGTTTAACAATGTCATCTATAATCAAATAGACGGAGTTGCCATGCAGTTTCGTTTTGAAACTCTCCTAGCGAATGTCTTCATGGCGAGCTCACAGAATAATCCATTGAAAGAGCATATCTGGTCGACACCTTTATTATTTGTGATGATAACTGTCCAACTGGTGAACTTTTCGGAAAATTTCATCATTCTCAGCGATTTATACTTCTCAGTATCAAAGAATCGAATTCCGTATTTCACTTCTTAGATATTACAAGCCAGGCAGAAGAGAGGATGACACGTTGACAAAGGTGTTGATTTACCGAAAACTAACCTTAACAGGGTAGAGTACAACAACTTTAAAATTGGGTACTTTTATGTAAGAAGAGAAATCTTATCCATTCTATATGCTCCGGAATTCGGAAATTTCGCTAAATATATATACAGACGATATAGAAAGAGAAAACCGCCCAAATTTCTTAAGGATATCTTAGAAGGTTTATTGAAAGAAACCATCCCTAGTTAAATCACAGTGCCAAAGAAGACACTACTTATGAGTTTGGCTTCCAAAGGTGACACCATTGCTGAGGCAATTAAAAGTCGTTTATCTAAACGTATTAAACGATACTTTCACGCAGTTGACTTATACATTTACATAAGTATTTACCAGCCGAAATATGATTCGACAATGCGAACAAGATGAATTAATTATACCGCTTATGTCCATATACTCTTTCTCACATGCTCGTGTGTAGTTGATTACACTGAACCATTGTGAGCCTATTTTGCCGACGAGCATAGGACGATGAAGTCTTCCACCTGTGATCATCTTCGGGTAGGTCATTTAGAAGTAAATTCAACCACTCATGTATGGGCCGAAGCTCTAGCTAAGCTATTATACACAAAAACAAAAGTCTAAACTGAGTATTCAAAAATGTTTTGTGTTAAACCCCTTTCTTCACCTTCGTGATGACAATACTGTTTATTCTATCGCTTGAATTCAAGCCACTTCACTTCATCATCCTCACCTTCTCTATTGTCATCATGGTCATCACAGTTTTCATTTCTGACAACACTTAGCCTGCTTACTATAAAACACTAATTCCTGTTACCTAATAATCCTTTTAAAAGATTCGTAATTTATCCACTTCCATCCCATCCCCAGACTAAAAACCATATTATTAATTATTTGAATAAAACAAATTTCGCGAGATGATATCTTCGTTCAATTCGTAGTTTCTCTGCAGTCAATCACTTTACAACCAGCATGGTTCATAATAATAAATAAAATAAAGGGCATGACAGTCATTCAGTTATATAAAACAAAAGTACATACTAGTGATTGGCCAATCATATTTAAATAGGTCAAGTAGTCAGTCCATGGTAGGTGAAGGTTGAAGTCGATTGTTACTTTTTGTACACATAGTTTAGGATGTATGTGATTAATCCGTCAAAGTGCTTCCATCATCACCTTTAATAACCAACCTTGAATTACAGTTATGTAATGAAATAACTGTGAAGCAGTCGTGAATATTGATTTTGTGACTAGAAATAAATAAGTGCTTTGCAATGGATGGTGATGATGGATTTCTATTCAAACTGATTGCATTGGGATTTTGTATATGTTTTAATAACCATTTTGGAACATGTTCTTTTCGATGATGACATTGGAACATTCTATTGGTTCCTGCTATATAAGTGTCACAGTAACTGCAGATGAACTTGTAGATACTATTCGAAGTAGAGTCTACAGAATTTCGTCCTTTAATCTTAGGTACAGGGATGGAAAATGTTCAAGATGTGAGGGAAAGAGATGCGGCGTAGAATGTGCGTTTGATGGCTGACTGAAGTCTTTGAGATGTTAACTGTGTAATCTGGTCACCCTTGAATGGTAGCTTGATAAAGATGGCTTCCTTTGGTACAGATGTGGTCTATCCTTACAGTGACAACTGACAGAGTTTCATGGATAACCATTTGCTAATACAATTGAATGTAGGTGTCAAAGCTCATCCATCAATGTGTCGCTCGTATTTATTTTTCGGGCCCTTGAGAACAAACATTTCACATGGATAGGAACAAAACTGGTGAAATGAAGATATTGTCCACTCAATGTCTGCTTACGACCGCTTAATCTATCATAGTCATTGAAATATCCAAGAAACCGAGTTTGTTAATCGATTCGAGTTCGGAAGTCACTCCGATATCAGGATGAATATGATTAGACAGAGTAATCAAGTTTTCAATAGACTTACTATTATTACCAATAATAAGAGTACCACCCACATAACGCTTATAGAGCATAAATTTTCCTAGCATACCTTCTTGCATTTCTTTCTCCAATTTATACATAAATGTATCTGCTAACAGGGGCCCAAGATGGCTCCCCATCAGTTTGTTTGTATACCTTTTTTTGGAAAGTGAATCTGACATTTTCTGTACATGTTAAGAGAATGTCTTTAATGTAATTTTTTTAATAATTTAATAACTCCCATTGTAGCATTAAGAACACAATATTCGGTGAAGAGACTCTTTTCAACAACGAATTTATTATCAAGCTGTACAATCATACATGCATAATTTTTAAGAAATCATATCCGGTGAGGGAATTAGATCAAAAGTGTGAACACATGAAATAATAATAATAGTAGTGTGAAATGCAATTAAAATATTTGTGATTATAATTATAGTTAAATGTCAAGTATGATTATAATTACAAATATTTTAATTGCGTTCCACACTACTATTGTTATTATTTCATGTGTTCACACTTTTGATCTAATTCCCTCACCGGATATGATTTCTTAAAAATTATGCATGTATGATTGTACAGCTTGATAATAAATTCGTTGTTGAAAAGAGTCTCTTCACCGAATATTGTGTTCTTAATGTAAATGACAAGAATGGATAACTGTATCCCATTGATTGTGATGTAATCGCAAATGAACTATGCTAGTTGTGTAAAGCGATTGATTGCAGAGAAACTACGAAATGAAGATATCATCTCACAAAATTTGTCTTCTTAAATGCCTTATTCATATTATTTAACTTATTCTTATTATATGTGCACTTTGACTGAGCAATTTCTATTCTAGTGCCACTTGTTAATGCCTTCATTTTCCGTCTGTCTGGATTCAACATAGAACTTGGCACCGAAGTGTAGCAGTTCGAGTTGCCACGTTCCAAATAGCACACAGAGGTAGACAAGAAGATGAGTGAAGAGAATCAATAGAGTTTGGCAAGTATAAGAGTGAAACAGAATGGGTAATGGTAGAAAGGAATATGAAAGATTACAGAGATTGAATACATCTGCGCTGGCCATTGACAACGATTTTAAGCCATGTCACCTATTGTCTCCAGCCATTGATTCTTAGAGTCCCGAGGGCCCCAACCCGGAAGTTTGCATCTCCCTACCTGACCAACTCAGTTTAACTGTCAAGGATTTCATGGATTGATGAGGCCATGTTTTTGTTTGGCCACCACTTACTCTTTTCCAACCTGCACCTATATCAGCTAGTAATGGCCGTCGGGAGAGGCGATGGTTAGGCATGCGCAGCACGTGACCTAGCCATCTCAATCTATGTAACTTTATAGCCTCGTCGATTGATTTTCCCTCTTTGCCCAACACTACGCCTAACGTCAACATTAATTACTTTATTAAACCACCTAACGTGAGAAAGAGATCGCAGACATCTATGATCGAAAGCAGTCAACCTTTTCATGTCTTCAACTCGTATTGGCCATGTTTCAGAGTCACAGAGAAGGACAGAGCGAACTGCTGAGCAGTACACACGTCCGTTGGTTGACAGCCGGATGTCACGCCTACTCCAGAGATGGTGTAAGTCAGCGAAAGCAGCTCGAGCTTTTCGGATCCGTGCTGATATTTATTTCCGTAATATCAATACGACTGCTGTGAACAGTTGGTTGAAAATAAAGTCGTTGAAAAGAAATTGTACTTACTTTGGCCAAAAAAAATAAATGACTGTGTTTCTCCTTATGAATGTGAGAACTAACGAAACGGCAGTCTTGACAGTTTCAGCCCTTAAGCTTCTACACTTATTTACACTTTTTAAAAACTTAGGAATGAGAATTATTTAAATAAGTGAGTGCATGAATTGATAACCCCCCCCCAAAAAAAGGACCATTCATTTCACATACTGATCGATTTTTTAGTCCATCACGTGATTTATTTCAACTCAAGTACAGCAGTGCAATAGACAATGGCAAAATGGATTTTCTTTTTAAGTGCATTGCGCGAAGTAGCTTAAAAAAAGTTGTAATTTTGTGAAATAGTTGAGTTTTATTCACTTACAAATATAAGTGGTGGATGGTATGTTTGTCAACAATTCTTCATCAATATCAGAATGTTACACATGTTTACAATTTTTCGTGATTTCAGTGGTGAAGGCATTGACAAGTTACCATGGGACAGTCCCGTCAACTTATAGTATGCGGATAACACAGTCCTCCCCTAGGTGAAGACTCTGACAAAATGCGGAGTCTTCAGAACACTTTGAATAGAAATGCACGCCCTTGTCAAATATAAGATGATGCTGAAGGACTATAGACTATACTGACTCCTGGCTTAAAGATAGGAAGTGATGTGATTGAGCGTATTGACTACTCCGCTTAATTGGGAAGTTGCATCAGCCGAAACAGACTGATTGCTAACGAAATCTCAACACGGCGACAAAGAGCTCGTGTCACCTCTGGTGTAGACTTGATATCATGCTATCGATCAGAGGAAGTGTTTATTGCTCAGAAGTTTAATTTGTTATTCTTTACGGTTGTGAGATATGGCCATTGAAAGCAGATGTGAAGAAGTTGTTTGCAACCTATTTCTCATGTTAAACGGCATGATATGGTGAGTACTATCGAGGTTATGCCTAATAGTTCTGGGTATAGAGTAGAAGTCAATCGGTCAAGAATATGAAGCTACATCGACGGAGATGTCAACGACACGTGTCACGCATTTCGAGTCACCGCCTTTCGCCACTATCAATGTGAGGAGAAAAGTTAGAAGTGGCAACACTAAAACATGGCATTATTCAATGAAGTCTTTAACAGTTGATTTCAGACACACAGGGAGGAATCGACTGTCTAGTCGGGGTCTTCACGATTCTCAGAACCAATGGCTGGAGAGTGTTAGGGTGGTGGCATAGAACCACTCTCCATAGCGTAAATGCATTCGTTGTCTGTGATCTCTCAAGATCCATCGAATCCTGACGTTTTTCCATGTTACTCCGCTCCTTCTCGCGTAAATTTGTCTTCGTGCGACTTTGTGACGACCTGAGCTACCACAGTTGTATGCAAAGTCCTATGCTGAAACTCAGTTAAACAGTTAGTCATTTACTGATTGACTAAGCAATCAGAATCATTTGTTTGGACAAAATTTATAAAGTATAGATGAAATAAGAGTTTAGATGCACCAAATAAAACTTTTTTCAGCTATTTAGCGACGTCTGTAATTAAAAACACCCAGATAACTGTGCAGTTTTTGGTCCAAAATCTTCCACAACCTTCCCAGGCTCTTCTGGAAGTTACCAGACCTGCTGATGAAATAAATTATCAGAGTGCATAGTACACCAATCATGGGTTGGCGACATTAGTGGTATGTCCTGGAAGTGAAATATGTAGCTGCTATACTTTATTAAGGCTGGTGTGGCATTTGCCAACTTAGACAATAGCTGGCGCACACCTGAAATTCAGCCATTGATTAAGGAATGTATGAGCTGCGATTAACTTTGCTGTCTTCCTTTATGGAACTGCGAAACACGGACATTGAAGGTGGAAGATATGAAAAGGCTAACCGTCTTTGATCATAGAAGTCTCCTGTGCTATGTGGTATATTAGGGTAAGTAATATCGAGGTTAGGCATCGAGTGTTAGGTAAGGAGGGAAAATCAATCGACCAAGTTGTGAAGCTACATAGAGTGAGACGGCTAGCACATGTTACTCATTCCCGGTCATCACCTTCCTCAGCAGAAAATGTTAGCTGACCCAGGATGAGGTTGGAAAAGAGTTAATGGTAGTCAAACGAAAACTATCAAAATATTTAACAGTTAGTTTGAGCCAGTCACGTAGGGTGGTGTTTTCTTCCCGGCTGGAGTCCTCAGGGTTCTATGAATCAGTGGCTCGAACTCATTGTCAGTGGCGCAGATGCATTCACGCCTTGTGATCTATTCTATTTCTTTTCCCCTCACATTTCTGCTTATCAGTTGAATCTCTTTTTTCTTCTCGTTTGTCTATCGGTGTGTGTGTGTTACATGGAGTGTGGCAACTCAAACTGTTGGTGCACATTTGTCCAAATTTCTGTGCCGAACACCAGTCAGTTTAATTAGCACAAGTGACTGTAAACGATCTTGAAAAGACACTAGATTTGTACGCATGTACCAAAGTAAACTAAACAGATACCAAATGTGAAAGGATTCTCTACATCTTTCAGGAAGTCACTTAGGTACACCAAAAGATCAACAAACTTAAATACTGGTGAAGAGTATTAACACCATAAAATCACAGCAAATCCTACACACTTATATGCTAAACAACCGAATACGCATTTGTGAAAATCACCAAAACTTGAAGAATCTAACAGAGATACGCATTATCATCAGGCATCGATTTGATTGGTTACAGGTTTGAAGTCGCGATCAGTAGGGATCACCGAGTCTGGTAAGAGAAAAGTTAGTCATTCATAACACTGACTCGAGGTTGCGATATATGCCTATATATATATATATATATATATATGTATAGATCACGAATTCGCAGAATTTGGAATTCCTGGACCATTAAATTGACTGGTCCCAGTAGCTGAATGGTCTACAAGCTTGGCTTGTACCCTGAAGCTGCTGGCTTCCAACCCCAGTGGAAGCGTACTGTGAGTAGTCCTAAACTGGGACAAAACAGCAGTCCCAATACTCCCTGACTGGTCTTCCAATGGTTCTCTAACTCGTGATTACACCTTTAAAGAAATACACATATATATATGAAAGAAATAACAGCATGTAACTCACCTACGTAAAGCGCTATTGACAGACCGATTGCTGACCATAAGGAGTAACGACCGCCAACCCACTGTCATCAAAAATAATTAATCAACACAGAACAATTCGAAATTCTTACTTGTCTTTATTAAAATTTTGTGGAAAAATACAATAACGTAATAACTGAAACAGGTAGTATTTAAAACACAAATAGGGTTCTTAATAAAACTAATGACGTATTACGTTTGGTGACAAAAAACATACTATAGGATACCGGGGCAACCAAGACAAAAGCGCTCCCAGACACAGTCTCACACTAGTTATTAAAGGACTTCTTATATTTCTAAACGTATCTGTAGGAGCAGTTACACTGGGGGAACAGAAAGAAAGGTACAACCTCAGATTCTCTGAACATGCACCAAAACGTTTACGTCTCAAGAGGAAAAATGCTTTGAACAGTATTATTACCAGACATCTTGTTGTTACGGCTTATTACGTGGATAGTGTGAAATCCCTCGATATTACTAATAGACAGAATAATCTCAACTCTCCTCAAATTTGCCCAAACAATTGCTATCAAACGTTTAAAATCTGACCTAGGTGTTCAGAAAGATTCATTTGCTAGTCTTTCCTTGCCTAGTTGCCCTAACGTCTGGTCTCTTCGTCCTAAATAATTGCACAATCTTTTGTTTTTGCCCCTTCCCATCTCCTTTTGCTTTGATGGAGAATTTAGTTCTTTTTGTATTCTATTCTGTTCATTATTATTATTGTTATTATGACTAATTCCACAATTTATATGCACAATCTTATTATCCGATTGGCAAAACACCGTGATTAGTTTATATTCTAATATTTATTGGTAAAGTTATGCCTATTCGAGTTAAGCCTGTTGAGATCTAATTTGAAAATAATACTGTTCGCTTAAATGTGTTATTCTAAATTTTACTATGCCAGTACTGAACATTTTTGAAATATTTCACAAGGCATCGAAAATTAACGATTAAGAATTGTCTGTTACATTAAACATCAGGGAAACATGAATACAAAATCATTTTATTCTCCATTTCGTCTTAAACATTTCTTTTCGATTAGATCCTCCTCTTTGGCTCTACCCTAATATATACATATATATATATATATATATATGGTGGTCTCTCTTTCTGTTTGCTCGCTTAGTCTTTTGCTCTTTCGTAATGTATGAATATCAGAGCTTCTCGAAGGTGTTGATTCGACCAGGTGTGTGTCTTTCTGCAAATTAATCAGCCGTTGATATTCATCAGCTATGTCATGTAATGTTAACCTAGGATTTTGTTCTAGCTGATTGAGCAGTCGAGTTCGGATATCTGTGAAACGAGGAGATTGAAGACTGCATATGAGAATCAAGGCTTTGAATTGATCATCTGTTAAGGACCTGAGTCGAAATCTCTCACATTCTCAGTTGACTGTGCCAACGTGAGTAAGAAAATCATCATCTTCATTCATTGTCAGCTTGAGGAAACGATAACGTAAGCTGAATAATGAGGAGTGGTCTCCAAAATGTTCACGCAGCAGCTTTATTGTATCATCGAAACACTTGTCACGTGGTTTTTGGAGTAAAATTAGGTTGCAGTACCTCTCATATTCTGCGGGACTCAATTTACGTAATAACACTCGCACCTTCCAAGCATCGTCTTGTGAGGCGAGATCAACTGTGAATAAATCCTCATATCGTTGATACCATGTGTCAAAAGTGACATTCGCATCTGGATTATAATTGAACTGTGAAATACTATTCGCAATGCCGTCGACAGATGGTAGCATGGTATGATTGGGATTGCTTGAAGATGAAGCTGGACCAGTCTGTTGGTTGACGAACATTTTCATTAATTTCATTTGGTTTTCGAATAGTAATTCCCATTTAGAAGAGTCCATAGTTTTCCCCGTCGCCAAATTGTTATGTACTCGTCGCCAAATTATTGTTATGTACTGGTCGAGAAATTATTAGTCCTGACGCAAGAAGGCGGAAATCAGAAGACCACTAGGTTTGCGATGATACTTCTATTTTCCAAACACAAGGAGAAGCAATAAGTGGTATCACACCAAAGTGTCACACAAGATTGTGCGAGCGAAATATATATGAATGTCCAGACAAGTGTGTGAACAAATCAATAGACAGTCTTAACATGAATGGCTAATCATAATGGAGTATCAATCCATATATACATAGCAAAATATAGCAGATATGTCAACAACCACACATATAATATGGATATATGTCACCAAGCAACGAACTGTCAACAAACACTCATATTATATATAATATAAGGGGAATATACTTTGTTAAAGGAGACAGGTTCAAACAAGTGAAATGGTCACAGACTAAGCGAGCAAACAGAAAGAGAGACCACCATATATATATATATATGGATACATATCACCTCCCCTTTTGAGAAGATTGATGATTAGTAGGATGTTTTCCTGGGGGTTTATCTGGAAGCTTTGGGCTTGTTGTTGACGTCTGTCGTTTCGTCTGCGTATTGGGTTTGCGGCTTCGGCTTCGTCCGGAATTATCTGACATTTTATGCTTCTTGACTGCATTGCATAGCGAATTTAGTGGGACATCAGCCAGATGCAAACGATCGAACCAATCAAGTCCCAAAAGATTTAAATCACTCTTGGTGACGTAACAAATTCCTGTGAATTTGATATTGCGGAATGAAACAGAACATTTGAGTTCACCAATTAGTTTGAGCCGCCCACCACAGGCGCTGAGAAGAGTCCGGGAAGTATATCCGATTGGTGGTCTGCCAATATTATTCCAAAGTTTCTCTGATATAACAGTAATATCAGAGGCGGTATCTAGCTGCAGACGTGTATCATGACCTTTCATCTGAAGATCAATATATTTCCGCATAGCTGGTTTTGTGACTTGACAGGTTGCGAGTAGACTCAATGATCTCCTTGGAGATTTAGGACCAACAGTTTGTCGAGCTTTTGCTGGATTTTGACATCTGGGTTTGCGTGGCTGACAAAAACCATTTTTATGACCGATGATTTTGCACTTGCTGCAACGATGATTTTTATACGGACAAGACTTTACAAAGTGCCACGCGCCACAATGCCAGTATGGTGATGGTGGGGTCTTCTTTGCAGTATTTTGTGAAGTTGGACGAGTATGTGTAGATTTACGCGGGACATTAGAAGAAGCTGGGTCAGGACTGGATGATGAGAGATTTTTGCTCTTTCGTTATGTATCCTATATATATATGGATACATAGCAAAAACAAATAATTTTCGCCACACCTATTTTAAATCTTTTACTTGAAACTCCGAAATCTGTAGGCTATACTTCAGAGAGGAGAGAAGCTATTGAACAATAATGGCCTCAGAGTTTCTGGTGTCTTTCCCACAAGGCTGAACAATGCGAAGATGTTTTTGCCAAACAAAACAAAAATGTACATCTACTTCGCGGACCAATCTGAACAAATAATAATTGTTAAAACAAGCGAAAAGCAATGCTAAAGATAATTCTGTAATGTAAACTTAAAAAGAAGCTTGGCCTTTTGAGAAATGCTTACATCCCAAAACTCGAACATATTTTCTGGTGCTATGCCGAACGCTCGGACGTCTTTGGTATTAGTCGACAAGGCGACAAAATGTTTGGCGACATGGGATACCTATGAAAAAAAATGAACAAAATAATTATTAAACTCTTTGTAATATCATTGGAAAAATTAGCTTTATTTCTATAAAGTGTAAACCTACTGTAGATAAAGAATGAAAATGACCGCTGACCATGTCGTCATTAGATAAAGAAATCTGTATTACAATGAATTTACAAATGGCATTAGAATAAACAGTGTCTGATGCACTATTAACTCACATCTTTAGCATGTTCCAAGAACCACTGTTTGGCAGAATTGGCATTCGTCATCGTTTCAATAGTAGTGAAAGTCTGTAAATTAACAAATAAATAAAAGGTACTGTACTGTCTGTCTGTCTGTTTTCGACACAGAACTTTGCACAAATGTGCGGCAGTTCAAGTCACCACACTCCGTGTAGCACGCGAAGCAAGCAAGAGAAGAAAGTACAAGAAAAGCATAATAGAAACAGTGAGCAGAGGTGTGAGACAACGGAGTAATAAAGAAAAACAAAACAGTTCCATTGGAGATCATAAGTCACAAGGAGTGGATGCATTTGCGCCACTGTACAGTAATAACAGAAAAGTATTTGCGGTTTAACTTGAAACATACAGTGGCATTAACATACATTAAGCTGCTTACTGTAATCATTTTTGAAGTTTGAAGTGGAAAACCGGGAACAGAAGTCAAACAGATCTCTAATACACCGTTCAAGGTTAAATGCTGTTGTTTTATCCCTTGGAAGTAACATTTTTGGTTTGCTGATGAACATAAATAAGAGTAGTCCACATTTACTCAAGTAAACGTCCACGTAAACTACAGCAGATAACATGCATAAGTGTGTGTGTGTGTGTGTGCCGACTTCACCAAAAATTCAAGAAACAAACAAAATTTACAGTATTGGATTGGACATTTCTTGAATATTTGGAGCCAAAACAACTGTGAGGCATTATTATCTCATACATTTTAATTAGGACAGCTAACGAAAAAGTGGGAAGATGCAATTTTACAGTCTTCTAAATTGATCGGCTACAGTCAAGTAACTGAATAAAATTAGGACTCACTGACGAGGACAAAATTCACCTAAGACTAGGATATATACTCTGTCACATTCAGACTTTATGATTTCTACACACAACAGTATTTAGACTCAAAATAGATGTTAGCAGGGATTATTCTGGTTCCACAGGTTACAACAAATTAGTAAGCTGTATCCATTGGTATAACACTGGAACAACCAATTGTGAGTACATGCTAAAAGCTCTGTGAACAAACCGATATAACAATTCCTCTTTTAAAAAAAGAATCAGTGGTAACATAAAAATCTACCTTATAAGATACAAGTATTAAAATGTGAACCAAAAATATACTTCAAACTCAAAATCTACAAGAGACATGAACAATACTCCCAAATATATGCATATACACAAATTGCTTACCTTGGAGGCAATGATAAACAAGGCTGTCTCCGGATCCAATTTTTTCAACGTTTCTGCAATATGCGTCCCATCTATGTTTGAAACAAAGTGTACTCGGATATGTGAAGCGTAAGGTCTTAAACATTCAGTAACCATAACGGGACCCTGAAAAATAAGGTTACAAATGACAGATTATTGTTTTTTGCATATAAAGTTTAATTCTAAGAAACTTTAGTTACACCAAAAACTACTAAGACTGAAAAACACTAGGCATCTGTGAAATGACTTATTACACCGTCGACTACATGCATAATGATATAACAATGCTAACTAATTAGTTTGTAGACAATTAAGACATGTGGTTGAGTTACATTTCTCAATGATCACGGCACTTGACTTTCAACCACCTACTGAGATTTTGGCTACTAGTTAGTAATGTAGCAGCATACAAGTGGCACCTAATAGTCGAAATGCTTATATGATGGAGTGGTATGGAACTGATGGCAAACTTCCCTCTGAAGCCTTGATTTGCAAACATTCATAGTATTTTACTTCATTTGTACTCCTTTCATGCTTTTTATATTGTTTAAAAAGGACCTTCATTTCCCCGTCTCGCAACTTAATCCTTTACTGTGCTATCAAGATTCTTGCCCGGCGTTCTTCACCGGGTTGACTGTCCATTGGATGACAGTCTAGGGGAGATGGCTAAATCCTGGTTCCAAACCTCTAACGACTGGCATATGAAGCTCACCGGCAGACGTATGGGCAAAGGGCTTATTGGATGTCCTGGATGTCTGGCCCCATTCAAAAAGGCGTATGAACCGGACTCCGGTCACCGGCTGCCAATGGATAGTGGACTCCCTACTCCACTCCTACTGCCTTGTAGATCACACTTGGTTGTGTAAAGGCTAGAGCTGCACTCTCAAACAAAAGGCCGAGCGATGCCGGGGACATCACTCGTACCTAATTCCCATGAAACCTCATGAACTATGTTCATGAAGCCGGCTCATCCTTCCGTAGGATAGCCGAAGTAAAGTAGGTATGTAAGTACTACTTACAAACACCACAAACCGTGGTATCAATAGCTCTCACAAGATAAGTGTTGCTCATTACAAACTGCACAGAATTTAGTTGGAAAACAAGAAGTTTTAGTGTGATTGGATGACCAATTTAAATTATTATTGGAACGACAAAATAAACATAAACATAAAAGAGACAAGGCTTTGGGCATAAATATTAAGTCTGATGCCCGGGCTCACAAATATTCGGAAAGTGAACCTGAATGCATTAAATGGGATTTAAATACACATTTTCCTAACAAGTGGAAACAGTTACAGAATAGATTTGTGTTATGTGGACTGTAGTTACGGAAACACAATGATGTATAATGACATCCTTTTACTGTGTGGAACCTGATCTTCTTGTTTAAATAGGTTACTAAATTTGGCAGAGTACCTTTTAGAAACGCCTCTGCAGCAGAAACTAAGGCAAACTGCGTATGAGGGAAATGGAAAATTCATTCACTGTAACGGTTAGAAGAAACAAAGGGCAGGTAAATCCCATTTGAAAGTCAGAATGAATAAACTAAATACAACTCAACTTACTAGATCTGAGCCTCCAATACCAATGTTGACAACATCCTTAATCGGCTTGCCTGTGTATCCTTTCCATTCGCCAGATCTGACAGAGTTGCAAAATTTGGACATATGGTCGAGGACCGCATTTACTCCCGGCATAACCTAGTGAGAAATAATTTTTGTGATACAATGAGACTACGTCTTTTCCATCAACCATGATTGGCACATTTGAGCGATTTCGTAAAGCAATGTGCAGAACGGATCTATCCTCGGTAAAATTGATTTTCTTCCCCTCCATCATATCATCCCGCATTTTTTCTACATTACTATCCTTGGCCTGGAGAACATGAAATAGTTACATTGCTGAACAAACCAATTGAATTAACTGGTTAAAAGTATTGGTATCAATCAAATTCTTTGAATAGTCAAGGAGAATTGTTCCACCCGGAAGAGTGAAAACCTGACTGACAACGTCATTGACTATAATATATGTCATACCTGAATTCAGAAAATCTTTTTGGATTGGCAGAAAACATTTCTTTCATGGTATGTGGGACCTTTTTGAAATTTTGGATGAACTCATGTAGAGGTGACATGGTGTCAGTAAGACGAATACGTGACCCAACCAAATAAGTAAAGTTAGCTTCAAGATAGCCGCTTTGAGGACCTTGAAGTTAATGAGTTCCAATATATTCCAATATCCAATATATCCAATATCGTTTTTACGAGCTAGTATAAACCAATTTGATTTCTTCGTGCTCTCTTCTTGATTGTAAGGTATAGGTTCCTGATCTTCGGTAAACTTCTGCGTAGCTTGTCCCGCCACTCGACTATCGTAGCTTTGGTTGACTCCAAAGGGAGTAGTGCTGGGATTAATTATATGTGGTTTGTAGTATGAGGTATGTTAAGACTGTTACTGCTGTGATTGGAGTTGATCCTATCACCAGTTAGTCCTTCGGTATCGTCGACAAGAGAAAAGAGATAGTAATAATAATAATAATAGATATAATTAGTGAAGCTATTCAGACTAAGAGACAGAAACGAAAATAGGAAACGTAACAACAGTCAGCTCATTAAGTTTGAAGAATAATATATATATATATATCGGTAATAATAATAATAGTAATTATAATGTTCACAAGATTCATTTTCAGATTTTCTAACAAGAGGTGGAAGACTGTAACTTTATGCTGGTCTTCTTAAATTAGGCTCGATTAGATTGAGTGGTAGTCACTCTTTCTTGAGTCAGCCTGAAAAGTGAGTAACACAGTTAGGGACCACTAGTTCACCAGTATAATATTTTTCCGTTCTGAATTATCCCCTTTATTTGTCCCCTAATTTATTATTAGTATGATAAAAAGGATGTGATCAGGTTTACGACAATTATTTAGAGTTTCTACTCATTACCAATAGATATCAATCTTCACGAAAAGATATGAATGAATTTTTTGTAGAAATTCATTCGCCAGTAAGAGCGTGTACAGAAGGGGTTAGGGAAGTTTAAAAGCATCAAAGTTGACACCTGTTATCAGCACATCAGTGTGAAGTTTGATATAAAAAGCACACTAAAGAACGAACCCGGAGAATCCATCCAAAAAATTAAGTCAGTCTTATACTCACCACACTTCTTACGGGCATTTTGTTGTCAATATAGTTAACTCTGTTCGTGGGGTGAACTCTTTGTTTCATTGTCCTCAGAATTTAGGAAGATGACTCGTTGCAAAAATTTAGACGGGGCTATGGAACGTCAGTGTGTGTGAAGCCACTAAAAGAAGAAAATTTATTCGGGATACTCATATTCAACACTAACATATCCACGGAAACTCGTGCACGAAGGCTTTATGGTTCGCCGAAGTTCAGTGGAAAGGAAATTACTCTACGTCCCACCCCGAACACATTAGCCTATTTAACTGCTGCATGCCTAGTAAATTTACTGAAGCATCTGCACTGAGAATTAACCCAAAATGTTACAAGCAATGCTTTCACCTATGTTGACAACGAAAAAACAATGTTGTCTTTCCGCATGTTCCTCCTGTGGAAACAGTGAACCATGAGTGTGTACAAGCTATAGAAACAAAAACAAATATTTGAATGACATCCGCAGATTTGAAAAAGGTTCCTAGAAAGTGCTGTGGGTGCTTACATGGTATTTGACGTGAGTTCTACTGACAAATACGTAGCGTAGAAAAAGGTTCTTCTTTATCCCCCTAATATTTAACATTTTCATGAAAATTTGGAAATTGGTCCTCTGAGATAAATTCGGAGTATATCTAAGTGTGTAGCCGATTCATTTACGTTTGTGCTAGCAATTTATGCAAACAAGATCCAATGCAAACCTCATCTGGAAATTGAATTCACTAGCGCTTAAGAAGGTAGCATTTCGAATTTGGGTGATCTTAGCATTATAATATATATTTCATATAAACATATAAATTTGCATGAAAATCCATGCCATTTTTACAGGCACGATCAAGTATGACATAATCTCAAATCGTAGATTGTCTACAAGTTAATAATGTTAATAATGTTTCAACAGCTAAATATTTAATACATATATATAATTACACTCATTGTCTGAGCCAGGCCGTATAGTTATTGAATTGTACAGTTGTCCTCCAGGTTGAGCGGGAAAATCGACTTCGTTTCGTTTTCACCCCGTGGTTGTAAGCACACGATAACCAACCAATATTGAGGTAAGTACAACGTTTACAAGGGATTGGAAGCTGTTTTAGAAAAGTAAAAGTGCTAAGGTGAGTCATTAAAGTGTAATGGAATAAGTAAGTGCAACACATCATTAATAAATGCATATATGGAGGACATAGTAAAGGAAACTAATTAATCCCTGGGCTGACAGCGTTCATTTGCAATGTATAATTAAACCAATATATGTCTTACTATCACGATGTCAACTTTGGCTTTAATACAATTATTTTCAAGCCAGTTGTCTTTATTTCATGCTTTTTTGTCTATTTGGTGCACAACCGTACCCTCCAGAGAATAAGAATAGAATAAGTCGAATCAAATTCATAAAGAGCTATAAAATGTTAGGTTTAATGGAATATAATGATCAAGTAAAGGCGTTATTAGAAAATAAGTGAGATAAGACATTTTGAAGTGGTATTTAAAGATCCGACAATCGATAGCAAGCTAATTTATAAGATGCCCCATAAATCTGTGCAGATCCCACGTGGTCGCATCTCAACAAAAGGCTGAGCGAATGGTATATATTTAAAGGCAGAAGGATGATCTATCAAGGCGTTCATTATTATCTTTTTCAAGATAAAGGACTAAGCCCTCATAAAAACCAGAAATATCTCGAGCCTTCAAATTGCATATTGCTGTTCCTGCAGAATGGGGTGATTCACCTTAGTGACGACCACCATATGTACTGATCAGCTAGCACCACCCACCCTCCGTTGTAATTGTAATTGTTGGTTAATCTTGTTTGTGTCCGGACATTCCATAACTAACAATCGTCAACCTGATAAGGGTTGTAGGCGTACTGGTGTAAGTCCTGCGATTCTTCAAAGGAATTACATCGAGACATGATCGGAGAGGTTATTTGTACTGTTTGCATATACGTGTGGTGTGTCATATCAATTGGTGTTTTTCGATTCATTGTGTTTACTTGTTTTCTTTATAGCTTGTTGTTATTGCATAATTTTCTTAAATTTTTCGTCGTGATTACTTCTGAAGTTGTTTCGAGTCATCTACACCCATGAATGAATTGGTTGATGTTAAAGACAGCAGATGAGCCGTGTACGCCGGGGAGGCTATTGCTGAGAATTACATGCACATGGAGATAATTGTCAGCTGTGGTCCCACACGCCGGGGAGAAAGAGTGTATACGACTGAGGTTTGCATACATCACCGTTACTAGAACTGAGGCAGTGTCAATGTGGTTGAAGATTGAACGATCAATTCACGGTTGTTCGCTCAAAACCAACTTCTCCAATTTTCGTGGAGGCATCAATACACCAGTCATCGTCTCATCGGTCGCTGTGCAGAAAGAAGTCAGGGGACAACCGTCAGAAGTAATATTGTTATTTGTTATCGTGACATTTGTTCATAGACCTTAGTTGTAAAGCTTAGTTTTAAAGTTGGCTATATGTTGGTGCTACAATAAATAATTCTCGAGTCGCCAATCGGTGTTTTGGTTTTTGCGTCCGTTATTACTAAGCGTTTCTGAGAAGCTTAGAGGAACAGCGTGAGTCCCAGCGTAGTAAGAGCTTGGGATTAACGCTTTTGAGACGTGATTGAGATTTGTACTGAACACTAATTTAACCTGCGATATTACTCGCCATATTAGACTACTAAACAGAGAAGAAATGGCACAGACACTACGATCAAAAAGCAGTATTCTTTTCATATCTTTCACTTTCAATGATCACTCCTCACAGCCCAAGTGGACGATATGACCAGCATACACTTGGTTGACGAGACCGTTCCTTGGTGAGTCCATAAAGTGAGTGACAGTCAATTTGGTTAACATGTGTACGATGAAAGTGAACTTAAATACGGACAACAGTTGTAGGAATGAGCCTTGTATTATACCCTTCTAGGAAATACCAGTTCCCTCATCGTTTAGTTTCAGTATTAATTGAATGGAATGCAATCTACAGATTCATGGAATTCACATAATGACGTACTACTTTTCCAGAATCCTATTTAATGTCTTCTCAGTAAAGTGGGAAATGAATATTGCACTTGTGTAAATTTAATAGGCTGCGAACTGCTGCCAATGAAAACAACAACAATTCTTGCAATTACCAGTTGTAATTTTAGCTTGATCGCTTGCAACACTAGGCAGGTGTTAAATGGCCACTTGATGAACATCATATCTATACAGAAAGCACCGAAGATTTAGTACAACATGCACGCTCCTGATTTCACTATGAAGCTTGCATGCCAAATGCATTACTTTAGGGGCGTACACAGTTCATAAATTAACTCACAGCACTGAAGTAGAAAAATTTATATTTTTTCTTGATGAGCTTAATATAGAGAATCTTTTAAGGTAACTTTCTTATGCAGAAGAGAAGAGCAAGATATTCGTAATCTGTTGCTATATGTTGAATCGCAGTGCAACTCGATGGGCAATAGTATATATACGAATAAACTGAAAAATAAAGTTCTCCTGGTGACACATTGTGACATGACAGGAAGTGAGACGGTCAAATCACCAGCATCTTTGACGAAGCTGCTCTCATTAGAAAGAGAAAAGTCATGTAAGACGAGAGAGAAAAAAGAAAAGGGGAGATAACAGTACCCTGAGGAACACCAGATTCAACAAGCACGGCGGAAGATTTACTCTAATATACAGTATGCTGGATTCTGTTTGAGAAATGATAATGCCACCAGTCAGCTGCCCAGGACTCGTGTTTGCATGACCAAAACATTAATTAACTAAAGTCATCTAGATCCTGAGTCAACAATAACGGCGAATGCTGAATGGCCGAAAGCTTAGCACAGAAGTGACAAAGCAAAAAACCACCTGCAAAGTAGGAGACGAGTCCCGGAGTGGAGAAGAGATTACTGAAAGATATATATTTTCCAGTTAGCAAAGAACCAGATTAAGAATCACGCTTATCATTCCTTGAAATTTTGGAGACCATTATTCAATGTTTCGCATTTAGTTTTACCTAGACTGTTTCATTCTAACTGGCTTTCACTATGAGTTTGCAAAGAAGTTCACCTGCTTAATTTGTCCCATTACATGTAAC